GTCTTCCTGCAGTTGTTTGTAAGCTACGTCAAGGTTACGATCTGCTGCAACTATACAAGTGTCATCTGCAATATTCTGGTATAACTACTACAGTTATACATAACAGTACAGTTTTTGATGACATTCATCACATCGTTGACATACGTAAGATAGTGTAGAGGACCTAGAACGGATCCTTGAGCTGTTCCTTCTGATACCTTGACTAGTTCGCTGTATGTATTTCCCACTTTTACCATGTAATGCCGATTTTCCAGATAGTTTTTGCCCCACTTCAACAACGGGCCTCTAATTCCAGCGCATTCAAGTTTTTTAGCCATTGTAGTGTGTCTCAGCGTATCGAATACCTTGCTATAATCAATAAATACAAGCACCACATGTCTTTTTGCATTTAGATGAGAATTTAAATCATCTACAAATTCCCATTTAGATGAGAATTTAAATCATCTACAAATTCCGAAAGCAAAATGTTTGTCCCTCTCTTTGGTCTAAATCCATACTGTCTGTTAAAATATCTCATTTTTTTCGTAAAAAGTGTGTATAAGCCCAACTATGTACTTTTCACATATTTTGTTTAAAATCGGTAGTAGAGTGATAGGTCTATAGTTTTCATATAATTTGTGACTACCTTTTTTATATATTGGACGTATGACTCCTGTTTTCAATTCATCTGGGTAAATACCGGTTTCTATACTTCTATTAATGAGATTAGTTATTGCGATTGCTATTTTGTTGGATATGGATTCAATATCTTTAGATCTTATTAGATCATGACCTGGTGCTTTATGCGTATTTAAATTCGTAAGTATTTTTATGATGTCGGGACTTGTTTTTTTACTGTATACAGAGATATCCGTGGATTTAAGATAGTCTGTTTCGTTCAGTAGTGGCACTGTACAATTTGGTAAATTATACCAATCGTTTTGACGTTATTGTTATTATTTATTAACAGCAGTAGCCTTATTAGCAATATCGACTCCTTTTTTTATTACATCATCTATAGATTTCGTTACTCTTCCAAAAATTTTATTTAATACTTGCCACAATTTCTTAGTGTCAGTCTTACTCTCTATGATTTGTTTTTTAAGGTACTTATTTCTACTGCATTCTATAATTTTATTGGTTTTATTACCCATCCCCGTGTATTCCCTTCTCAATATTTTGTCAGTCGGATCTTTTAGCCACTTTTTAAATAACTGATCCTTTTTCTCGCGTAGTGATGTTATATTATTATTTATCCATTTTTCTTTTGTATTGTACATTTAGATTTGTCGTAGGCATAATGGAATCGTTCTGTAATATAATTATAAATTTTCAATTGATGACATTCTCGTACTATATATATGTGTAATATTTTGATATCATATTTTACAATGGGAATTTGAAGACCTGTGTATACTGCTTACCAGCACAAGTTAGCACTGTCATACAATGGTCCGCACGAACTGCATCGAGTACGGCGGAGCATAGGTCGAAGTATGGCTGGAATTTTGCAAATACGTGGTCAATACACGTTTTTGTTATTACATCTTTACGTTTTTCTGAGACGGTGTCAACATGCAGTGTTTTGATGTAATCAATCGACTTCAAAAAAGAAGGAGGTTCTCAATTCGACTGTATGTTTATTTGTATGTATGTTACGCGATAACTCCAGTATGTGTGAACCGATTTTCATGATTCTTTTTTTGTTGGAAAGGGGGTACTTCCATAGTGTCCCATTTCATTTTGAAGGAAATTATCTATATCTGAGGGTGGCTGTTCACGCATGAAGATTCATTTTTATAAATAGCGCCTAAATTTTCTTAAGGAGCAATTATTTTAATGGTTGATTTTGCTATTTCTCCAATTCAAGGCGTTTTTCCCTCAATATTCTTTGAGTAGTGAGAACCGATTTTTATTATCTTCAGTGTCAAGTCCTGTATCAATAAAACTGAGCAAATAGACGTAATTCCACGTACTTTTGAAGTCGGTTTTTTTAGTACTTTGTACTGAGATTATTTTCAGATTGTAGATCTATGTCTGTTAAGATCTCCCGTAAGTATTGTGTTATTTTTTGAAGTCGATAATATGTTAGATAGTTCAGATATAAATAGTGATTTGTTTATGTATATGTATTTGTTTAAGTTTATGTAGATGGCGCAAAGTGTAATTTCGTCGGAGTATTGTATTTTAAGCGAACCTATAATACGTTCAGAATATTTAAATTTTGTTTGCGTAATAGAGAATTCGTGATTTTGTCGAACATACATATTATTCCGCCACCACTTCTGTTAGATCTTAGGTTTTTATACATTATGTAGCCATCTATTTCATATAGGGAGCTAATGCTATCATTCAGATTGTACTCCATCAACACAACAACATCTATTTCGCTCGAACAGTTATGTATGCATTCTAACAATGTTGAGTAAATTTTTATCATTGCGCGGATATTTGTGTGAACGAAAGTCAACCTATTTGGTGATTTGGTAGTATTATTAAGAAACAGTAAGGTTAACAGTTACGTAATTCAGTGATGTTGTTATTTGTTATGTTAGCCATTTTTAATCATAAAAATAATAATTTTTACAAGCCTTATATCGAATTTAAAAATAAGAGAAATTACGAGCGTTTCTCCATCAGTATGTTCTTGATGTCGTCTACACTTCTTATTATAAAGATTTTGCTTTTTTCCGTCCTTCTGACAAATACTTTCCCTTGTTTGCACCATATAAATCTATAATTATCTTTTAGTTCATATTTTGTTTTCCATAGCAAGGTCTTAAAATAGGGTGTAAGAGCACGACGTACAATAATTTTGCGATTAGGTTCTAAATTGTTTTCGGAGAGATTTATAAAGCGGCTAGTGACTATCCAGGACGCAGGTGTTTCTTCGTCTGTTGACGCAACAATTAACCGCCCTTCATCTTTGTCATTTTTTGGGGGTAAGAATGTCGCAGCCTTGATTTGGTCTTTATCCAATTTAAGCATATCTGCGGATTTAACAGCGATTTCCAGACCATTGTCATTCCCCTCGTAAACCATACCAGATATTTCTACCTGATTTTCTAGTTGTTGTTGCTCTTGTTCATTAAAGCGCTGCTATATCGCACCCACTTCGTTTTCTAAATGTTAATTCTGATTTTCTAAACGTATGTTCTTCTTTTCCATCTCTTTTACCTTGTTCTGTAAAGGTTGAACTTCTTCGTAGCCATCAATTTTATCACAGCAATGGTTCAGGGATCCTTGAAAATCTGCTAGCTCTTTTTTTTTAAAAACCATTTATTTTTGAATAGCTTCTTTATCTATGCCTTGAGTCATAATCTTTTTTCCTCCGACTTGTATTTGCGCATTCTTCTCGGTCTTCACTTCCTCTTCATCAGTGGGTATTATGAATGACCTTCGAGGAGGCGAGATTTTCTGGCAGTCATCGCAAGTCCACCCGATGCTGTCTGTAGCTCGAAGCGCCATCAGTTGCTTAGTTGTGAATCCAGTACAACCCGCATTAGTATGAACTATTTTTTCACATTGCATACACTTCAATCCTGGGGTTCTTTTGGATATATCTTTAGAACACATTTTCGAGAAGACTGTATTTGCAAAATTTTGTATTCGATACCAGTGGCTAGTATGTCAATATTGACTTTTGTTTTTGTTCAGACGCACAGATTAGGTAATGTATGTTCATGTCATTGGATTAACAAAAGCCTTCACCAGTTTTTGTTCTCTATTCTTCAAAAAAATATTTTGTGGGAGTTTCAAAAACGACATCCTTTCACTCATTATGAACGTATATACCCAATAGGATTTCTTGAATTTCCATTAGAAGCCGCTTAAGAGGGAGCATGCCAAAAAAGTTTTGACGTTGGCACCGCTCACATTTGTGAGACAAATACACACATCAAAAAAAGTTTGCGATCAATAGCATAAGCTCCTATAATTCTTTAAATTTAACTTTATCAAGAAAAAATCTATGTTGTATGCTTTCTTTAAATAGGAATACCCTGTTTGAAATTAAAATATAAAACTATTTTTTATTATTTATTTTAAAAAATTGAGCCATTAATCATAATGTAATAGTGATAGAAATTTCATAGAAAGAAAAAGACTGTTTAATTAAACTTAAACAACAATTTATTATTAAAAGGTGTGAATTCAATATAAAATAACTCCTCCCCTGGCTCGAATACATGCGAAGATCCTCCTGGGCATGCTGAGGATCAAGTTATCCAGCATTTCCTGGGGTAACCTATCACATTCTTCAATAGCGGCTTCCCTGAGCTCTGGAACTGTCTGGGGACGTGGCTCACGGTTCCATACTGCTCGTTTAAGAGCATCCCACGCGTGCTCTATTGGGTTTAAGTCGGGCAAGCCGGCAGGCCAGTCTAATCGTGTGATATCGTATTCTTGAAGAGCAGCATTGACTCGTTGAGCTCGATGTGCGGGCGCATTATCATCGACCAGTACAAATTGGTGCCCATGCTTTACTCGGAATGGTCTGACGATATCATCAATAGCAACTGCTTTGTACATGTCTGCTGTCATGAAGCCCCGATACGGGATCAAAGGCGTTCTAGCTCCAATCATAATGCCACCACAAAAGGACACCGATTTTCCGCCTTGCTGAACTGTTCCAGTGGCAGTTCTTTGTCTTTCACGGTCGCCTGGTCTTCTCCAGACACGGACACGTCGGTTATCTGGATGAGTGCTGATTCGGGATTCGTCAACGAAGAGACAGTTTTGCCAAATGTTTTCGTCCTCACCTTCTTCATTTTGCCGAAGTCTAGCCCACTGCAATCTTCGTTGTTGACGTTGCCGGGAATTGAGCGGAGCTCGCCAAGACCTCCGTGCTCGTAATCCAGACTGGTGCAAGCAATTGCGAACGGTCTGCGTGCTAACTTCAAGCCCAGAGGCGGCCCTGACTTCTGCTTTTATTTTAGTGGCGTTGATTGTTGGATCACGGGCTGCCAGCAATCTAATATAGCGCTTTTGGGCAGCTGTCAAAACAGTTGGGCGACCGCTGCGGGGTCGGTCAGCTAAATTCCCCATTCCGTGATACCTCTGCAACGTAGCCACGACACAGGATTGGGATATAGCAAGTCTGCGTGCTATTACTCTCGTGGTGTATCCTTCTTCCCTCAAAGTTACTATTCTAGCTCGTAAAACCTCTGATAATCCTCTTGGCATTTTTTCAATCACAACTTTCCGCGAAAAATATCTTGAATCGTTTATAATTGACTAAATCAGATTTCTGAATGAGCGTAAGCTAGGACTGAAAGCCTTTTTATATGAAAAAACAATTGAACGGGGTCATTGTTTTATGTTCTAATTTATTTTTAAATAAAGAATCTAAAAAGAAGAAAAAATCATAATATAATCTACAGTAACAAAAAAGATTTCAGTTTTTCGAAGTGATCGCAAACTTTTTTTGATGTGTGTATATGCCTGAAGTTCGCGTGACATGCGACAGGAGATGTTGAATTTTGCGCATTAAAAGTACCAAATTCGTTTTAGCGGAATAACTCTAAAACTAAAGAGATTAAAAAAAATCCGTAGTGACAGTTCTCGATCATGCATAAATATAATTAATTATCTAATTTTTGTCCTAATAACCTGTAGCATTTCGAGGATGAATCGAAAAAATGTGAAAATTAGAGGTCATTTCGTGATTTTTATCTATCGAGGAAACTTTATTGTTTTATGTTTCTGATTAGTGTCTATGCTTGAATATATCGTGTAGTTACTCATACAATATTTTATTTTTAACTTTAAAATGGATATACCCCTCTAAAATCAAATCGAAGATTAGGAATTTTTCCTCAGCTCCCTCTTAAAAGCTAAAAACTTGATATATTTTCTGATGCAATATCCAAATTAGCCAAAATTTTGAGCGATGACGCAATATAAAAAGCTATTACGTAAAAGATATTCAGAATATACGAATGAATAAATGAATTGAATGGAATATAATGTGTATTATTATCTCAAGTCTTTGCTTACAAAACGCTCTACTGTAAAATCGTGATTTTGCAGATGACCGGTTACTCCTTACTGCCGTCGATGTACTTGTACAAGTTAAACTAAAAGCTATAATTATACTCGTATTATTGTCATGATTGGTATTCAAGTTACTTAAAATATTCCATTTAAAAATACACAAAATACTTGAAATTTAGGCCGTTTCCTGACTTGTCGGTATGGTAGCACTGCGATATCGGTACGCTCGGTATGCACAGCACCGAAAGCTCGATATACCGTAAACCTAAACGATTCCTTCCCTCTCCTGTCCAAACCGCGCCAATCAGGAAGCGCACAGTGAAATATAGTCGCTCGGTAAGTTTTCGGTACTGCGTATACCGAACGTACCGCTTGTGACGTTTATAGGTATCTTATTTAGAGAGAACGTCTGCTATTGTAGAAAT